GTTTTAACCAAGGTAAGAAATATTTTGCTTTCTTGTTTTAAAGTTTAACTTCAAAAGATGGTTTGCTTCCATTCATTTTGACAAGAATTTGTTTGTTTACTGTAAAAGCAGCCAAATGTTAGAGATGTGAAATATTTTTTGTCTCCATTAAATTCAGATATAAATCATACACTGTACTTTTTATGGCACCCTTAATATTTTTCTTATTGCAACTAAAGATTTTAGGCAGACTTTTTTTCATGTAAAATTATATTTTGAGCAATATGAACTCAGTGCACTGATGACACCATCAGTAATGAGGATGTGACGCGTAAAATGGAAAAAAACTTAATTAATGGACAATAACATCTAGACGTTTGTAAAACTGGTTAAAAGATGGCAACTGGACTTTCATGATGCAGCAGGTAAACAGGTTTGACTGACAAAGACTCAACCAGAATCTACCAGGATGTGTTCAGGAACCACCATCCAAAGTCAAAGGTTCAGTGCTACTGGCCAGAAAAACACATTTCTTATCCAGACTTTAAGTCATTTGAGTGTCATACTGACAATTTCTGCAACAAATACATTCTGGACAATAACAATGATAAAATTAGGAAATTTTCCCATGAACTGTAATCTTGTAATCTCTGTAATCTCTTGTCAACTTCCTTTGGTTCCAAGAAGAAGAGCTAGCCTGATGCCAATAGAACCATAATCATTAATTATCATATCATTATTGTATTGGAAATTATCGTTAAGTATTGTTAATTACATAATCGGCACATGGACAAAAAGGAACAAAGTGCTCTTCATCAACTTGATGCTTCTTTTCACTTGAAAATACGGGACTATTCTTTATTTTAAAATTTTTAGCACTTTGATAACAGTCTATCTGTTTTAAATTGTGCTCTATAAAAAAATATGACTTGACTTGACTAATCAACTGGTGGCAGCTGGCCCTCAGGCCCTTTTGATGTAGATTAGAATGCTAAGTTTTGTACAATCTGCTAGATGTTTCAAACTTTAATACAAAAGTGTCAGAATATATCTGCAGGCCCTTCCTTTTTGAGTGACACTTCTTTTGACCAACTGAGTCAATGTATGGTCACTTCATAGCCGATGAGCATCATCTTGTGTGAAAGGACACGTGCAACTCTTAATACAGATCAGGACTTTTAGCTCTGTGTTGCATGAGCAGGTGGGTTCTAAAACGTCAGGAACATCCATGCATACACTTTACAACTTTCTGCTGCACATTTGTGCACTTGTGCATCAAAAGTCCAAGAGACATTGTTTGCATTTTTCAATAGAAAATATAGCTGTGATGGGATTTTCCAGTCCATACCTCCATTTATCCACTGTATGTGTAGCAGCATATTAAAATGATTTAAAAAATCAGGCAAAAGAACAAAACAAACAAAAAATATTGTTTCATTTCTGTGTTCCAGCTTCATTAACTACGGTACATTCTGTTACATACAATAATTTTGACCGCTGAGGTCAAAAATTCAGCGTGTTGCCTTTACAGAGAGACCAAGCTTTTGCATCTACTCCAAAGGCTTCAGTAACAGCATGTAATTGAATTTGGGTTTTGTTCCAGGCCTTTTAGGCACAGTGGTGCCTCCAGAAATGTTTTAATGGGGTGACCATGCGGGGGCCACTGAAATTCCTGGGGTGGCACACCAAAAAACCATAATAGAAATTCAGAAATTATGCTGTTGTTGTAAAACAGTGATTGGAAAACTTTGGCAACACGAGAGTTAAGGATTTAACTCAGTTTCTGATTTGACAGGTAACAGTACTGATTATGTGATGTGCATGGACCAGAACAGAGCTTGGTGGTCAGTGCCGTGGTTTTGTAAATGATAAATGGTAAATGGACTGTACTTATATAACGCCTTCCTATCTTATCAAGACACTCAAAGTGCTTTACACTACAATCTGTGCCTTCATTTACCCATTCGTACAGCACTCTACTAGATCTCTACAAAGACTAATCAGAGCTTTATCACATTCATTCACCGATGAGACACATCGGAGGCAATGAGGGGTTCAGTGTCTTGCTCAGGGACACTTCAGCATGTGACTGTTGGTGGAATCGAACCCCCAACTTTTGTAATCCTTGTAATCCTGAGGTTGCGGGTTCGAGACCAGGTAGGAACCCATGAACTTTAATTCGATGTAAATTTGATGCAATTCGATTTGAATTCGATGCAAACTGTCAAATCTTTCATGTGAGTTTGTTCACTGTGGAGACCCCTGCAGAAAGGAGCAGGGGCATGGTGGCTCAGTTGGTAGAGCCGTTGCCTCTCAGCAAGAAGATTACTGTCAGGTTCAAATCCCGTTTCGGGACCTTTCTGGATGGAGTTTGCATTTTCTCTCAGTGGGTTTTCTCCAGGTACTCCGGTTTCCTCCCACAGACCAAAAACATGCATGTTAGGCTGATTGGAAACTCTAAATTGTCCCTAGGTGTGAGTGAGAGAGTGAATGGTTGTTTGTCTCGTTTGCCTTTATGTGGCCCTGTGATGGACTTGTCTCGGGGTCCTCCACCAGAAAAGTTTGAATAAATCAAACGCTATTTCCTGCATTCTGGTGTATTTTGCGCCACTCAAGGTGGCTGCATGTTGGAGCAGCTCTGTTACTTTCATTCTGAGATTTTGCTTTTGGAAACTTTAATTCCTCTTTTTCTGGATGTAAATCACAATTTTTTTGGATGATTGTTTCCTCTGGTATCGGATGCTGTGCAGCTGGAAGGATTTTTACTGAAACTTTTTTTAGTTTTGGACATTTGTTATGATGCGTAACCATGGCAACAAGGCAGTTTTTTACAACCAACAGCAGCTGATTAACATCTCAAAAGCTCAAATAATATCTCAACTACAGCCCCAAATCTCAAGTGAGTTGAAAAGGATGTTCTGTGGACGCATTCTCATCTACCTGCCAACTGTGCTCGAGTGCCTGACCACTGAGATCCTGGAACTAGAAGAAAACACGGCTCATGACAGCGGAAGGACAGGATCGTCCCTCAGCACCTACAGTTGGCTGTCCGCAGTGACGAGGAGCTTGGCAGACTGCTGGGAGGAGTGGCCATCGCTCTGGGAGGAGTTCTGCCCGACATTCGGGCGGTCCTACAGCCCAGGGGAACCGAGAGGCCAGTCGAGTCTGGGTGGACGGATCGGATGGCATCTGCAGCCAGTTTCTTAGGATCCACTGTGGGATGGACCTTTACAAAAGATCCTTCCTGCCTACAGCCATCAGCATCTATAACATCTCTTAATGAAATGAGGATAACGAGTTACAACAACAAATAATTTCCCTCTGGGATTAATAAAGTATTTTTGAATTTTGAATTTTAACAGGTTGTTAAAATCTATGTTTATCTACATCTGTAAACACTTGATTCAATAACTATTTTAGAGAGCAACAACAAGAAATCGCCTGACCAACAGCTGTCTTAACACCCCCACCCCCTGCCACAATGAACTGGGCAGCTGTCCAGATTGTTGGGCATCCCTTACTTGACAATTCAGAGCCCGACTCTTCTCCACTGAATTCACTGTCCTCCTTGTTGTTGTCCTCCTCCTCATGTGAAACCCCCAGGCTCCTCCTCAGGCTGTTCATGGCGGCTGCCTGTGGGCTCCTGCCCGGGTACGACAGCCTGGTTAGCTCGGCACTCACCCACACCACTTGCACCTGCTCCAGTATCTCCATTGCTGTTTTCATGTGCTTCAATTCTCACTTGTTAAATTGTACAATGAGAAGTTTCTTTTTAAAAAATGAAAAAATTTGGACTGTCTTTTCAACATTTTGATTGCTGTTATTTTGACAAATTGGTATTATTAGAGCCGTGTTTTGGGGATTTATGTATTTATTTTTTGTTTGGTGTAATACCTGAAATTCACAGAGAGTAGCATCATGTATGGTTAAAGGAGTCACAGGTAACTGTTCAGCAGTTGTGCTGATTGTGGCGGAAACACAGTTTTTGACCATCGTCATAGTTGTCGTCTTCGTCATTTTATTTTGTTGTTTGATGACTTCGTTGCGGCAATTATGTGAATCTTTTGGTTGTACTAAGCCAGACTGTAAGTGTGCAGCATTACAATTTGCATCTAGTTGGGAAACTCGAGATCAATAAATGCTCTACAAAAGAACCTCAAGTGTTCATTCACTGGATCCAGGAGGATGATGTGTCAACCCAGAGCTACAGTCAGCAACTCCTCAGTGACTTTGGTTTGTTTTGTTTTCTTTGGTTAAGATCAAGTCACTATCGGTGCTGTTGTTTTGATACGTGATGTAGTAACATGATTACCCATCAAACATTTCCCTCGTAGTTTTAGTAAATCAAAATTTTATTAATGACCCACTTCAACTGTAAAACTGATTTGCAATTTAGTTGTGCTGTTTAAATATAATTTTGTGCTTTTAATTAAATTGCCCATGACTGCACTATTAGGGGCGGAGATTATTTTAAGGGTAGAAGCGGAAATGCTTACTTGAAGGGGCAGGTCTAATGCTCTCATTAGGAAGCTCATAAGCGGCTGTTATGTTTAAAATTTGTGTTTATGTAATTATTGTCAGATGACAAATCCAATATAGGTTTTATTTGTTCAAGGCAGTCAAATTTGTTCATAACTTTATTATTAGTAAGCCTGAAAGTTACCTGATCCAAGCAAACAGTTACCGGAACTCACCCTGTTAAAATAAGAGTGTTGCCGGATCCTGTTCAAGCAGGATCCGTCTCAAATTAAGCCCTGTTTATAAGGCTCTACTAATTCTTAAGTTCTGGGAAATTAAAAATGCATGCTAAGAAAAAGTTTGTGACTCAAGAGAATAAATGGTATGGCCAAGGGGGGCAAACAGATTTTATGGGGTGGCCCTTGCCCCTCCTTGGTGGCGCCTCTGTTTAAGCATTTTGGGGACTGTTATCAACCCTCAATGCAAATTAGATGAAAAGCAGTGAAATCTCGCGAGATTTGACAGCCTCCCTCCGGGATTTCCGCGGTGTTTACATTACAGTGGCTGGGGGCCTTCCACTGGAATCTGTCTGAGAGCAGGTCTCACTCCACAGCACAGGCGGTCTCTGTGGAGTGGAAAAAACTTCGTAGTGTACAGGCAAGTGCCACGCAAGAAGAGAAGTCCGCTTAGTCAACTTTTGTTACGACCTTGGAAAGAAAGCGAAAGTCACAAGAAAGACAGTCGCCTCTACGGTCGCAGAAACTCATCGTGAGGGAGGATTAGCTTAGCATCAGATTCCCACTTCCTGGTAAGTACAGCCACAGCGAACTTATTAAAGCTACAGCTAATTGACTTTTTATAAACTGTTCTCACCTTTGTGTTTGGCTAGTTAAGAAACTCGCAGTTTCCAAAAAACACACGCATACTATTTTTTGTTCCTTTTTTGAGTTTGGCACGCACTTGTAAAAGTTTGTGGGAAGTTCGCCACTAGCTTTGCCTGTGTTAGCCAACTAGCATGCTGCTGCGCTAACTCCAATTACCTTTCAAATTACACAATCGACACTTGTCAGTGAACGCTAACAATGGCTCTGTAGCCATGTAATTATGGTGTGTTAAGACAACTTTCTCCTAAATTAATTTTCGGCACAATAAATTCATGCAGCTTAAACGTGTGATGGAGACATGACAGTGATTGCTTCTGTTCATGCCTCACTGATTCGGTGTGTGATGTCTAAAACTTTCTGCGGCGTGCATGGCTGAACATACCCGTCTTTCATAAGATTTTCTTCCTCGTTTTTGTTTTTCACCATGGCTATTTGTGTCCCTTGTCATGTGATGTATCTAAAAGCAAACTCAAATTATGTTTATTATGCTTACTTAACTTCCAAGTACTAAATTGTCAAGATTCAGGCTTTATTCTGTTTTTGTGTTTTTATGTTCAAAAAAATATTCCACATAATTTTGGTGTCAGGATGCAAAGTTAACAAACGTTTTTCACCAATAAGTGCTGATTCCCTTTTTAAGCAAATGAGCAACATAGAAATAAGTATAAACTAGGAATGTGCGATATGGCATAAAATTCATATCACGATATGTATTGTGATGGGCGGTGGTAACGATATATATCACAATATGTTTTTGGTATAAAACTTGCAATAGGAATGGAAAAAAAAAGCATAGGATGTCCTTTTGCCATTTATTTTGAAAACTGATATACCATAAAATAATCTCAATTAAGAAAATTCAAATACTAGGTCCAGAGAATTTTTAAATAAATAACAATTCAAGTATTAGGCTTCTTTCTTGTAGTGCAAAACAGTGAAAATATATCAAATGTAGTTTTAGCCATATGTTTTAAACAAAATAATATGTTGTTAACTCAACAGTTTCCAGTATTCTCACTTAAGAAATGAACAGCAACAGAGCAGCAACTGAAAACACTTCACCCTCCAACCCTCTAGTGGGCGCCTCCTTCCTCTTTAATGGAGAGCTGACACAAAATGAGTCTGTGGCTTTGACCAGAGGGTCTCGCAGTAAAATCACACAACACAGCGTTCTTTTCACAGATCAGAGAGCAGGTTTCTCTAAAGCTGACCAACGCTTACTTTAACTTTCGACATAAAAAACCCCCAACAACTTTCGACAGAACACAAGCAACACTACGGCAAGCCGGGCGTAGTTAGCTTGTAGCTTCGCTACTTAGCCCTCGAAGAAAAGACTTTAACACCACTTGCGCATAGTTTTCAACTCAAAAAAGTAACGATTAAATCTGACAGCTATGATTTTACATCAGACACGGCATTATTGTGGTTAGCCGGTAGAAGACAGATCTCTATTGTAGGCTAAATTTCTATCGTTTCTACCGTGTACCGTATATATCGCGCATTCCTACACACGTGGTTTGAAGAACACAACAAAAGGTACTACTACTAAACTACTATTTATTTTTATTATTCAATAAAGTTCTAATTGATAATTAACGATAGTCCAACTTGTTTGCTCCATGATATTTAGATGGTTGAGATTTTTACACCCGTTTTATCATCGGGTGTAAAAATCTCAACCCAAGGTTGAGATTCCAGATATGGATTTATATTTTAGACGGTAGTAAATATTTTTCGTTTTGTTTTTTTAAACAATCGATGCCTGTAAAAAAACTGTTTATTTTAGAGCTAAAGCTTATTTTATGAGTTTGTTTATGACCACTAAAACAATTTATTTTTAGATTAATGGAAAATGAAAAATAATTCATTTTTTTGTGTTACTTTTTTGTATTTATTTAATGATTATTACAAAACCTGTAAAAATAAAACAAGATTTACTTCTTACTTTTTTGTTGGAGCTCGAGTTGACCATGGTGTGTATTGTTAATAGTTGATTACATTTATTAATTTCCACTTAAACAAATTCACAATATTTATATTTGAGGAAAAATACTTTAAAAAATCTGGAATTATTCACCAAAAGCAAAGTAACCCAGTTAAAACATTGGATACAGGAAGACTTAATTCTAAAAAAAAACCTAAAAGTTTGGGGATTACATGTAGGAGGGAAGCTGAATCCAGTGGAACGTTGCTGTCACTGTCCATCACAGTCACATATTTAAGGCGTCACGCCATCACATTTGTCTACACCAAAGAAAGATGATTCAAAACAGGAGTTAGTGAGAGCTGACATACCTTGTTGACCCAATTATTACTCACTTCTGCGTTGCCACATTTGATCATCGTCAGCGCCAACAGGCTTGAGTCATCAGGTGATTGAGATGAACACTGGCTTGCTGTATGAAGTTGATAATCAGAGATTGTGTCATGAACCGCATGATCAGAAAATGTCTGACAAATGTTTGCATCAGTTTCTGTGGTGAAGGATTTCTGTCGGTATATCAGTTTTTGATTTTCAGCTTTTTGGAGAAAGGTTACCCATGACAGCAGTTGGAAATGTATCTTTGCTCTGTTGTTTGGATTTAGCAGGTGCGGCTTGATCTGAACTCATAACTTCAGAGAAAATGTTTTTTTTTTTTTTAACTTGATTAACAAAGAACTTTTATTCTCATCATTGTATGATGAGTGTCAAACACTTAAAACCAGATGTATTCTTTAGGTGATTTCAGTGTTATTGATTTATTTTTTTCTGCTACAAAGACATTCAGAGTCATATGCTGTACTCACATGGGCACAAATTAAAAAAGTTAAATTTTGTAACCTTGTAAAATAAAATGGCTGAGAGTATCTGCTTTGAGCATGTGTAGGTAGGAATATGTGCATGCAAATAAGATCTGTATTTGTAAAAAATAATTACACAGGTTACAATTTTTTATTTTTTTTATTTTTGTGTGTGTGTGTGTGTGTGTAAAATCTACAGATGCAAAGCAAAAACCTACGTGTAAATCTTTACGCTTATATTTGAGTGTGAGTTTCAACTTAAAAGTACGAATTTTGACCTGATGTTTCTTCCTCTCAGGTGATTGGTCAGTGTCATGTCAATCACAAATTTAGCAATACAATTAAGAACAGATGGGTGTGGCTAACGGGGTGGCATTTTACTGAGCTGCAGGTCCTGGAAGAGTACAGTAGTACATTTTGAAGATGAAGGACGGCACCAGCGCTACCGAATGTGATTTTCAAAAAAATATATATCGGGACAGTGATTTTGTTTTTGTTCGACTAAACCACAAAGTAATTCCTACCTGAGCCGCAAAAGCACTGGTGCCGTCCTCCATTTTCAAAATGTACTACCCTTACAGGACCTGCAGAGTTTTACTCCTAGTTATTTGCTTTGTATATGTAAACGGCTCTTAACAAAAAAAAATTGTAACTTGTGGAATTATTTTTTACAGTTACAAATCTTTTTTACATGCACACATGCCTATCTACACATGCTCAAAGTGTATTCTCAGCCATTTTATTTTACAAGGTTCTTCTTCTTTCGTCTTTTCCCTCTTCAGGGGTCGTCACAGCGAGTCATCTTCCTCCATCTCACCCTGTCCTCTGCATCCTCTGTCCTCACTCCAACTACCGCCATGTCCTCTCTAACTGTATCCATATATCTCCTCCTGTCTTCTTCCTGGCAGCTGAATTTCTAACATCCTTCTACCAGTATACCCACTGTCCCTCCTCTGGACATGTCCAAACCATCTCAGTCTGGCCTCTAACTTTATCTCCCAGCTGTTCAACCTCTAATGAACTCATTCCTAATCTTCTCCAGCCTTGTCACTCCTGAAACTTTTCTCCATGCACTCCATCCTGCCTGGACTCTTGAAGTCCTGCACCTTTGTGACCTCTGCTCCTTGTAGCCTCACTGTTCCATCGGCCTCCCTCTCATTCACACACACACGTACTCCGTCTCACTACGTCTGACTTTCATTCCTCTTCTTTCAAGTGCTTTTTATTTTGCAAGGTTACAAAACAATTCACAACTGCGCAGTTTGATTTACAAACACAAAATATATATGACTGGAATTTGTGCCCGTACACTCACTCAGAGCCGTGATTTAGCTGGAATTTAACAAATCACTCAGTCTTGTGAGAGTTTCCTGTTTAAGCCCTGAAGCTGGCCCCTCCACAGCTTAAAGATCAGATGAGACATTTGTCATCTGACCATTTTAACAGTCATCTTGCCTTTGGGTTTGCACAGAGAGCAAATAATATTTGCAATTTTTTCTTTCATGAAGCGTATTTGAAGGAAGATGCTTCCTGAGGCTTTTATATATATATATATATATATATATATATATATATATATATATATATTTTTTTTTTTTTTTATATCTACATTAAACAGTCTTTTGCATGATGTGAAAGACCTTGACCAAGCATTGCTGAAACAGTGCTGTAGTAGATCACTACCATATGCTTTATTAATATTCTTGCTTTAGGGTTATTTAGTACATTAAAAGAAAATACGTTGATAAATAAATATTGAAATGTTTATAGATAAAAGATGAAAATAGGAGCTTAATGGTGTAGAAGAATTTTAAATGGAGCTTTTCCTTTTTGCACTCAGTTTAGTTCAAGTTGAGAGCAAGGTCTTTGGCAAAGAGTGTGGGTTGTGTTAGCGGCTTCCTAAACTCCTCTCAAACAGCCATCCTGTCAATATTTTTCATATCCATCTCCCCTTTATTATATGAAGGGTCAGCGATGCTTCAAGTATTCAGATATCTTTGGAGGATGCTTCACAGCTCCTTATGTCACGCAAATGTTCATTTTAGTGTGGCATTGGTGCTTTTTCTCATTGGGCTCTAGTGCCCTGAGGGGAACATACTACAAACACTTTCAAAACAAACAAAAAATTACTGACCTGAGACCT